CTGTATTGTCTGGCAGAAAAACAGACCACCATATATCACAACAAGGCCTAGTATTTCATGTGTGAAGAATAAGAGCATGATTTCTTGCACCAGCTCCCGCAAGGAAACAATGGCATGTGTCAACGAGGTAGCAAGCAAAGGACAGCTCTTTTTCCATGATTGTGTGCTACAAAAGCATGTTTTACCTAGCGTGCTAATTTACATGGTATTTGGGGCATCATTTCCCATTCCCTGTGTGTATAGACATACACATATACACCAAGCAAGGTCTGTTTCACATCCACTAAGGTCTGTCACATCCACTAAGGTCTGTCCCACTATCCATTGTCTGGCAAATGTGCATTTCACAACAAACAGTATCAACTGGTTGGTATATCTACCATTGATGAATTTTCACACACTCTATACTACTGTTATACTGCCAATTACATTGCAGTTGGAAGATGAAAGGATGAGTGCCACAGACAGTGACATGGAGACCCTGGAGGCTGACATTTAAAACATCCAGGCTGCCATTGACAGCCTCAACACAGCAGTGCAGGCAAACATGCCATCGTCAAAGACCAGGGTTAGTAGTGTACCGCTGGTAAAGGAGCTCAGAGCGTTCCCCGGACCCCACCCACTAATCACGTGGAAAAGTTAGGGTATTGTGTAACCGCATTCCCAGGGGGGTATATATACGGGTCGTTGATGCTAACGTCACCTGACTATTTCTTCCCGTGAAATAGGTAGGCTACGCCAGACTAGACCCGTCGAGGTTAGCCTTTGCTAATTTGCATATTGGCTTGTACACTTGCTTTTCACACCATAACTTTTGAACACATTAGCTAGTTATACGAAAATCGCCTTTTTAAAAAAGTGAAGCCAGTGCAGCGATGAACCCGTTGGTATCGCTGTTTTGTTGTCTTGTTGCGCGTAGTCACAGAAAACGTGGTAACAGACAGACAGACAGACACACTTACCGAGGGTTAATAATGCCCACACAGACTCTTAATAGACTTTAAATCCTCCTGCCACAGTGTCTTATTTTGATAGCCTGTTCTATGGTGGACCTTCAGCGAAATGTATGAAAAAATGTTGATGTGTCAGAGAGACATGTGAGTTGTCAACACAGGATGGAGATTCAGCACTAATGATGGCGGGTCACACTAATGTTGTTGTGGAGCTGGTGAAAGCAGGAGCCAAGTTGGAACTACAGAATAATGTGCGAAGCTACATTTAACAACTCCTGTAGGTCGTACACACTTAACCTGCATTATTATAATGTTCTCATCCGTTTCCTTTATCCTTTTATCCTAAAACATTTGAGGCTGCAATGAGGTCATACATTACAGGTTATCCTTTGTTGTGTCCATAGAAATAATAATTATGTGGAAGGACATCAGATCGGCGAGGGTTAGGACCTGGGCTGAAGCTGGTCTTGCTAGCAAGACCCACTCCAGCCAAAACCTGTAACATGGTGTCATTAGCATCCCCTTTGCACGTGGCTTGTGTGCTGCTCCTTCCCTTTTTGAAACTTGAGTCAAAATCCACTTTCCGAAGCTAAATTTGCACCTCTCAGACCCTCTTTGTCATAATCTGCGGAAATCTATTCTCATCTCTCCACAGGATGGAGACACAGCAGCCATAATGGCTGTAGAGAGATATGAACCAGCCACTCTGAGGGAGCTAGTGAGGGCAGGGAGTGACCTCAACCTCCAGAACCAGGTGAGATACACAGTTACTGTTGACACTGCACCACATATCATCCCCAGTCCTCCATATTAGGAGGGACTCACTCCACTAATGATAGCTGTCAGGAGTGGGAGAACTGACATTACTAATATTCTATTGGAGGGAGAACACGTCAACCTGGACATTCAAGAGAAGGCGAGGGTTTAATACACCTAGTCTTGATCATTGGCATCAGGCTAAAAAGAGGCCCTTCTACACTAGGTACTGCTCAGCAACTGCTATTTAGTCTCATGTAGCCAGACTCTTACTCGCGGGAGAGTCTGGTCCACTGATGTAGAGCATTTTGGTTTAGAGCACACCCTGATTCCAGGGAGCGAAGGAATTCGAATGTTGGGTTTGGTTTTTGCATGACCACCGCAAGCATAGCTTAACATGTTTGGAAATGGATCCAGTGTGTGTACTATTATATGCATGTGCAACTGCAGGTATGGCATAATAACTGGGCCACATCCACTAAGATGTGTAGTAATTTGCAAGCAAGCAATGTAGCAATGGCTTCCATACTCACAAGAAATCACGGCCGTTTATCCTTACCAGACCTTTGATGGAGTTACTCTCTCATCCATAGAGCACTGGCTGGTCAGCTCTCCACTTCTCTGCTGAGAGAGGAGACTCAGCTACCACAGAAGCACTGCTCAAGGCAGGAGCTAATCCTCACGTCAAAGACAAGGTATTTTATTCCAACATCAATTTGTGTTGTTGTGGGATGCTTTTTCTCTCACACTCACACTCACTCTGGGCTCTGGTAAAGAACGGGTTAACGGCCCTGGAGATTGCCCAAGTCAAAGTCACAAAAACAGTTGCACCTGACTGGGGTTCTGACCCTGCTGATGAGGAACAACCATGCTATGAAGCAGTGATATCTCTACTGAGAGAACACATTGGAGAAGGGTCAACTACTCTATCCAGTCATCATGTGAGTGTACAGAATGAGATAATAAATTATGCCAGAGGTAGATTGTTAGTCGTCACATCATCTTAAATTCACTTAGAAAAAATGTGTTCAGGCCGCCTTGTGCAGAAC